TTCTTAAACTTAAATTTTGCCGGGAATGGGGCTTTAATTAATTATTCAATTAATTAATTAATTAATTAAGCAGTGGTACTTACAGCTGAGGATGATTGGTGTGACTGTACAAGGATGCAGCACTTCCACTGGTATGTAGATGGGTCACACCCCTAATTAATTCTAACATACTTTTTGTTCCATGATCAACAGGATTCCAACAACAGGTCTGCCAGTCTGAGGTTGATATCTTAATTGGATTTGATAGAGAACACCCAGGAATCAAGTCAAGATGTTTGCTTACCGATTCAAAATCTTGTTCTTCATACTTAGATAAAGCTCTGAAAATTTCAACAAACAAGTGCAAGTGAATTTTTTAAAGAATAAGAATGTTAATAGAAACAGCTCAATTTGGCAATGGATAAAATGAATAAGAGCTTTTAGAGTGGAGTTGAATAGCTCAGTGGTTAAGGTTCTTGCTTTCTATTTCCCAGGGTCCTGGGTTCAATTCCTGTGACAGTAGGACTTTTTTCACAACTAAAAGCAACTCACTCACTAAGCTTCATTAAAAGACTTCACTGATAAAAAGCCAAAAGCAACTCCACTCACTAAGCCTCATAAAGAGATTTCACTGATAAAAAGCATCACGTTATTTCATATATTTAAGAGGGTCTCTGAATATCAGCCGACCTTCTAGGATACGCTGGAAGGGACACCTTCTGTAAATATGGTTAAAAAAAAAAAAAGAAGCAAGCTTAAACTCACTTGATAACATTAACATCCGGTAGTTGGTAAACACTGGAGTCGTTGACGTGACTGGGCATTAAGTGGTGAAAATCATTCACCATCTCTTGCCATTTCAAGACTGATTGCCAATCACATAGCTCGCTGTAACAACCACCAACCTTGCAAATAAAAAAATTTACCATTTCAGGTCCCCTAACACATGAATTACTTCCCACATCTTATCAAATCTCCACATCTTTATGATTTTCAACCTTTTACCACCTTCCCACATCTTATCAATTTCCCATCTTACATTGCCCCAATACATAAACTTGTACCATCAAAACATTTTCAAAACAGGAGAAAATATATAAAAATATTTTGAGAATACAGCTGTCCAAAGGGGTTCAAGACAAACTTAAAGCTCAACATGTCACTCAATAAAAGAATAAATTTGATTGATTAATCGATATCTAA